TTTATATACAGTATACTTTCATTATCACAAAATGCTTTAGTGTGTATTTTCTAAAAAAATTTTTTAAAAAGAACATATTCTCACACAACTACAATATAAACAACCAAACCAGGAAATTAACATGCATACAATAACACCATCTAAGGCACAGATCTCAACCATATTACACCAATTGCCCAAATAATGATCTTCATAGGAAACACAAACAAACAACAGCAACAAAAACAAATTTTCTGGGAGCACGTGTTGTATTTTGCTTTTAATTGTTTTGTTTTGTTTTGTTTTGTTTGTCTTTTCATCTCTAGTCTAGGACTATTCTTAGTTTTTTTTCTTTCATGATTTTGATACTCAAAGATTGCAAGCCATCTATTTGTAGAATATCCCTTATATTTGGAATTTGTCTAATAGCTCCTCATAATCTCATTGAGGTTATACATTTATGAGAAATATCACAGAAGCGATGTCGAGCCCATCTCAGTGCACCATATCAGGAATCACATGACATCCATTTGTCCATTATTGCTGATGTTAAGTTCTGTTACTTGGTTAAGGTAATGTCTGTCAAGTTTTTAAAGTTATGTTTGTTCTTATCATAATCAACAAATATATTGTTAGGAGACACCTTGAAGCTATGTAGCTATCCAATTCTTTACCTATTAGTTTTGACTTCCATTGAGGATCCCTGCCTGAATCAATTACTACTACAAAGTTTAATAAATGGCGCTTTTGTAGCTCCACATTCCTTCTGTTTTTATTACTTGGAATGGAAAGGACTTTTCTTTCCTATTTATTGAGTGATGTTTAGTACAGCCACTTCCCTGAGCCCTCTCAATGTGCCCCTTCTCTGGTGTCCCCACAAATCCTCACAATTCAGTAACTAGAATATTAAATACTGGAAATGAGGGGGCTTCCAGATTATATTTCCCCTTGTGTCCACTCTGACTGCTCAGTGCCTGTATTATGGCTCAAATGTGTGAAGCTAGAATGTGATTCTTGTTCCATCCAGGAAATAGACTAGGCAAGAACATTTGAGCCTTCAGTCATGAAAGTTTATTGGAATTGCCTGGAGAATTTAATGACTTGCGAATGCCTGGCACTACCCCTATCACCAGGTGATGCTAACATGAAGTCAAGGTTGAGAGATGCCTGATTAGTGGAGTTGGGAGCTCTCATGCTCAGGCTCAGTTGAATAAATAGTGGTGGGGATTTAGACACTGATGGGAACTCTAGCAAGCCGGGAGAAGAAACTAAGTTATTAGCTTCCTAGAATGGGGGAAAGAGAGAGAGGAAGATGGAGGAGGAGGAGAGAAAGGAGGAGGACGACAAAGAAGAGAATAGAGAGAGAAAGGTATGGGGCAAAATGCAAGCAATATGACAATTCTTACAACTTTTTTATAAATTTGAAAATGTATAATAAAAATCTTCTTAATCTACAAAAAAGACCAGAGTCCCTGTAAACATTAGTCTGTGGTTCTGTCCTCATAGAATGACAGAATGGAGTAATAAGAGGAAATAAATCTTAAATTTACTCTCCACACCTAATACAGACTTTGGAGTTGAGGAGGTGGGATGGAAAAGGAGTTACATTTTCAGAGTCCCTCAGAGCTGACTTGACCTCAGAGACCCTTGAGGGATGAGAAATGACAGACAGGCTCAAGTGGCAGAATGTTCTTTGAAAAAGTCGGGGCATCTTCCTCTTGCAGCATATCATTACGCGGTCAGGAGATGGCTGTCACAGGGCATCTGAATTGAAAAGGATCTTGATGTCATTGAGTTCGAGATCCCACCATCTGTGGGAAGGTTTTGAAACATTTTTTTAGCAGTATTCATCTGAGCCTCCATCCAATACGTGTATACTATTAAAATATCCCTTTTGACTAAAGAAATGTGCCTTCTCTATAAGTTGATATAAATATAGTTCCTTTCTTTAGGAGGTCAGGAGAAGAAATGATTAAGTGGCACAGGGAAAGGCTGAGAGATGGACAGTGTGAGCTCAAGGAGGAAACGGTGCTAAGAGACTCACAGACACTTGACTGCAGCTCTGCAAGGGTAGAAGTTGTGTGTCTCATTTCCTGTCTATTTCCGTAGCAGTTGCTCCTGACTTAATGTCAAGTACATAGGTGGTGCTCAAGAAATACGTGCATGATGACTAAATGCTGAGATCAGCAGATGGAGGAAAAAAATAAAATGAAAGAAAAGAGACTAAATAGGAAAATAAAATTGAAGGAAAGGGCAAGGAAGCGCGGCAAGGTATTGCACCATGACCTAGGAAGAGAGTGCCTTAGGAAGGCTCTAGCTGCAGAAGCTGGGGATCTGCCCAGCAAGATTGAACCTGCCAGAGTAGACCCAAAAGTAGGACTGAGCACAAACCAAAGGGGTGGCGTCTGAAACTCAGTCAAAAAGGATTTTTTACCTAGAAGATTGAGGCTGGCCATTGTCTTACTAGAATCTGGTGTGGTCATGTGCTTTTTGAGCTATGGCTGTCACCACAGTTCCTAGCTTTGCCCCCCTCCCCACCTTAGAGAGGTGAATCTCCCTTTTCTTTCTTTCTAATTTACTTTCTAAATAAACTATATTTTCTAGTCTAAAAAAAGTTTGAGGCTGAAGGATTTCCTTGGGAAAGCTTGAAGTAAAACAGATTGGAATAGAAATGCCAGATTTGCTCATTAGTTGAACAAAACTCTGGTTGTTTTAAGTTTTTTTTGTTTTTTTTTTTTGAGTTGGAGTCTCACTCTGTCACCCAGACTGGAGTGCAGTGGCCGCTTCCGGCCACTGCAGCCTCCACCTGCTGGGCTCCGGCGATCCTTCTGCCTCAGCCTTCCAAGTAGCCGGAATTACAGGCATGCGCTACCACGCCCGGCTGATTTTTTTGATTTATTGTAGAGATGAGGTCTCGCTGCCCAGGCGGGTCTCGAACCCGTGGGCTCAGGCAATCCACTCACCTCAGGCTCCCAAAGGCATGGGATTACAGGCTGAACCACCGAGCCCGGCTTGTTTTAAGTTTTTATATAGATATTATTTTTGTCTGTGTGCTTCATGCTGTGGAAAGTACAGTTGTCCTTTGGTATATGCAGGGGACTGGTTCCAGGACTGGCAGTGAACACTGAAACCCATAAATACTCAAGTCCTGCGCTGTGGAACTCACACATATGAAAAGTTAGTCCTCTGTACACACGGGTTTCGCATCCTGTGAATACCATATTTTTTGGTTGAAAAAATTCTGTTTGTAAGAGTGCCCTCACAGTACAAACACATGTTGTTTAAGGGTTGAGTATATTTTGTTTACCTTAAATAGTTTCCTGGTGCCTTGGGGTTATTAACTAAAAGGAAAAAAAATCTCCATCTTCCTTGAATGATAATGACAGAGAAGACCAACAGAGAACACATACACCTTGGGATTCAGTTGAGCCTAGTTTTTTCATAATCCTGAACTTTAAAAAGCTTCTTTGATTTAAGGAGGGCAAGTTCCTCTGCTCACACAAGTCCCGATTCAAGCCCCTTTTCTTTCATTTTATTTTTTCTCTTCGTCTGCTGATCTCAGCATTTAGTCATCTTGCACATATTTCTTGAGAATCACTTATACACTCGACACAAGGTCAGGTACATGCACCACTGAAATGAACATGAAATGGGACATACACCCTTCTGCCCTTGCAGAGCTGTAGTCAAGCTCTATGAGCCCCTTGGCAGCCATTCTTGTCATCATTAAGAAGGATCAGCACTGAGACTGCAGGAAATAGAATGTTGACCCTGAGTACTTTGCAGAATTTCAGAGGAGCATACAGAGTTCTCCAAGGAGAGATATTGTTGTGCCAGAAAGCAGGGCTATGATATTAGACTAATATCAGGTGCTTCAAGCAGTGGCAGACGGTTTGCTGAGACTTTATTCCCGGTCTCCAGGGAATTACACTCCTTCTAAACACCAGAGTTGGTTCCTCACGGGGAACATGAACAGTGAGCAGGACAATTTATAACTAGCATATTGAGTTTAAATCCTGAAGGAGAAGGTTGTGCTGAGATTTTCAAACTTAGAATCAATATAGAAATTCCCCCAGAAGCTCTCAGAGCAGCCACCACTGGCCTTTGCTGGGAATTACAATTGCACACTGCAGCCTGATGCTGTGAACCATTTACAACTGGTCGCTGTTCTGTCAGTGTGAATCTCCTTGACATGTCCTGGGCTCCAGGGTTAGGCCCTATCCCTTGACCTGTTCTCAGAGATTCATCCAGTCTGTTTTCCCAAGTAGGCTCTCAATACCTGGTGGCCTGAGTGTTGACAATGTGACACTTGGGGGGATAAACATGGATATAGGTGAGGAGAGCAAGGGCTGTGCATTAAATGTTGCATTTAGGCAACCAGGTCTTGAAGTGCCCTTTAGATACCTTATACTGAGTAATTCAAGAGACTGCCCAGCTGTTCTTGCTGGACTGAAGGGTTAAGGCAAGGAGATGGCAACAGGAAGCAAGTCAAGTTGTATTTAATGTGGTGTCTTGTGCTTTGTCTGTTATAATCAGAGCCCCTCTCTGTACTACAAATCACCCTTCACTGCCTCCCACACATGGGGTTTGCTGCAAAATGCCAGGAAGGGCTAGGCAAAAATGTCAGATGAAAAAGCAAACAAACAAAAACAGAAGTCTCCTCCAGGGCCAGGTATGGGCTAAGGAAGGTTTACAGGACTCTTCTTTCTCCTTACGGCTTCCTCTTAAATGGGCTGGGGCACCAGATTTCTCAGAGAGTAGAGCCATTACCTCACTCCCAGCCTCGGAGCCAGACTCTGTCAGAAAACACAAGGTCCCAAGGTGGTTCTAAAGTTTTAAAGGATGACTTGCATTGCTTGCCATGGAAGAGCTTTACGGAACATGTGCAATGTCCAGGCCTGGAGGCTCATAACCCGGGTCATGAGAAGGGGCACAGATGGTGGACTTTTGGAGAAACAAAGCAGGGAGGAGTTAGTGAGTGTATTTGATGTTAAGGGGAGAGTTGAGAAGAGAGAAGACAGTCAGTTTCCAGGCTGCAGCATGGCAAGGAGCCAGGAGAGGGTTCCCTGAACCAACAGGAAGGTCGCTAGCGGGAGGCGCTTCAGGGTAGCAATGCTGGAGCCTGAGAGGGCCATTGGTGCAGCCCTGAAGCCTGCAGGGGTCTTGTCCTGGGGCTCCACTTTGCCTCCAGAGGACTCTAAACAGGGCCCCCGAGGAGGAGGGGTGATGTCTGGAATCCAGCCTGTTGTGTTTTCCACCACCTCCTGCAGGAGAAGGAGGAAAAATAGTGAAGACAGAGCTTCTCTTTTTCTTTCCTAAGGCCTTCCTTGGTCATTCCCAGTCTTCACAGAGCTCTTAGCCTAACCACGATGCTCCAACCCACTCAAATCCAGAGAAGCAACAACTCAGCTTTCTGCTTCCTCAGTCCTGCCTTCCCTGACCCAGTGTTTCTACCATTACCATTCATGTCTCTCATCCTTCTCTTTCCTTGCTCTTACTCAGTTCCATCTCATACCCCTTTATCCCTAATCCTAGAGGGGCATCTCCTGGGACACTCACATCAATGGTCTTTATTATCACCATCTGCTGGGCCTCCTTGCAGGCTTTCTCAGCCTTCTTAATACTCTCTGGAGTCCACTCAACATTGTTTATGGCCATGATACCCTCCATGGAGCTGCCAGGGCAGTAGGATAAGGGCGGGAGGAATAGACAGAAGTTTAGGGGTGATGTGGAACTCTGACAAAACTTGTAAAGACTTTCATTTTTGTTAGCATCATTTTCATGTCAGCATAAACCGTAAGAAAATTTTACAACTCAATGAAATAATCATAATAAGTTTGACAAAAGAAATATCATCAGAACTCAGATGAGAATTTAAAAGAAAGAAAAAGTGGATCTTCTTATGCTTTAAGGAAATGTTCCTTAATCGGGGAGGTATGGACTCCAAGAATGCTGATGGAGTGACTTCAAGTAACTTGTCATTGCCCTGAAATTATATGTGAAATAGGGAGTATATGAACAGATGTGCATTTTTTTTTAATGGAAAGAAGCCGCAGAGTTTTCATGAGCATCTTAGAGAGGATCTTTACTCCCAATAATGAAGGGTCATGACAGTTAAACACAGTCTTTGACTAAGTCAAGTAGTGCATGCAAAAAAACCAGATAACTCAACTTGTACACAAGTGACCTCATTTCTAGGACTCATTTCCTACCTGCTTCTCTGAATGACATTGAAGATAGGGAAAAAAATCCCATAAAATTCTTGTCTTGTGACAGAGGTTTGAGAGTCAGACACTGACAGGAACGGGGGGAAGAGGTCAAGTGCACACTGAGAAATCCTGGCCTACTACTCCAGGGGGTAGTGGGTGGGACTCTTTCTCTCCTTCCCCAGTCTTCCTTAAGTTCCCTCCCACACACACATGAAGATATTATCATCCAGGATGACTCACTCTGATGCCTCTTCCCCCAGTTCATGAGCCACATAGATGATGTCAGGGTACCCCATGCAGCTGGAGATGTTATTTCGGGGATAGTAGAAGAGAAAGACGAGACACATCTCATTAATGGTGCTGGGACCTCCCTGGAGACAAGGAGAGAGAAAGACGAAGAAACAAAGATACAAAGGCATGCAGAGAGAAGGGGACAAGCCTGGCAGAATATAGCTGAGGTGGTCATCCTACCAATAACACTGTTTTCCCTTTTCTTAACCCGGAGCCAGCTTGTTGCTCTATTTCCTTCACTATTTCCAATTGGTGGACAGTTATTGATATGATTTCCAAAGAAATAGCCTATATATTTGCCTTGTCCCCTATGTTTCACTGCCACTGTCCTGGTTTGGACTAGACTAGGCCTTCCAACTACTGTCATCACGCATCTGTCCTAACTGCAGTCTGACCTCCAAAGAGCTTTCTGACTATTTATTGTCAATACATTTTGCATCCTGTCATCTGCTACTCAGAAGCTTTCAGTGGCTTTCAGTAGGCCTTTAAACAATAGTCAATTATCATTAAACTAATTATTTTCTTCTGTATAATACATTCCAACCCTTTGTTCATTCTCTTTATTTACTTTGCAAATAGTTGGAGAGTGACTGACTTAGGCCCTACTATACTGGAAATATAGATAGGGCAGGATCACCCCTGCTTCAAAGACCCTTTCCAATCTTATTTTTCTTTAGAAAAATGGGGGCAAAGGGACTTGGGACTAGGAGTGTTCAATAATAATGAACACTCATTCTTCTATTTCTTTAGATATCTTTTCCCATTTCTCAACTTTCAACCAAGCTCATAGTTCCTCATGCACACTCCATGCTTTCCTTACATATGGCTTTTTAGGTCTTTTTCATCTCCAAATTCTCCATCTCTGTGTCTCAAGCAGGATCCATTCACATTTGTCACATGTTCAGTTTATTGCAGTAGGATCTTACGGTGTTTTCCTGTGGACTTCTCTAATGCATTATTTTCATTCTTCTCTTATGGTATACATGACTTTCTGTGCTATATTATAATCATTTGCATATCTGCAGTTTTTTCCTCAATAACATGCAACCTTTTTTGAGTCCCATAAGCACTGATACACACACACACACACACACACACACACACACAAAATGAATGTGGTTTCTTGTGACCGTGGTAACAATAGTGAACTCTAATTGAGTATCTACTACAAGTCAGGCAATGATCTAGGTGCTTGACATCTGTTCACCAACTCTCACAACACTCTTATGAAATAGGAAGTAGTTTTAATCTTGTGTGAATTCAGAAACTAAGGCACAAAGAAATTAAATAACTTGTCTAAGGCTAGAAAGACACTAAATGATTGTGGTGACATTCAAGCCCAAGCAATGGGATCTCAGAGTCTATGCTCTTAGCCACTACAACATACTATTTTTCCATGGTCTTAGTGAGTGATTGACAGAGAATGTATGGCATCCCTGCACCCATTTTAGATACATGAAGGGTGAGAGCATAAAAACCCCATGTGAATGGGTAATGCCATTGGAAGAAAGAAGGGACTTCAGTGAACCATCGGGGTCACTGGATAGCCAAAGCCAGGATGAGCTGTCTTTGGGACTCTGGTCATGGAAACCACGGCAGGGAGAAAGATCACTTACAAAAGTCATGGAGTCACGGTCCAGTGTCTGATAGTGACATTCTACCAGCAATTCATCTCCCTGTTCAGAGTGAAACATGAAGGCTGAGAATAAGGCACAGAGGGAATGGCCCAGTTTGAGAACTTTCTTGGCTGACAGTAATGAGCTCTGACACTGCCTCGCCCGGTTCTGCCATGCCTTCCCCCAACTCTCACCGGCTTGATCTCCACTCGAGAAGGCAAATCTCGAGTTTCCTGCAGATTGAAGTCATAGGAATCATCTTTACAGATTGTTCGAAGTTGTGTTCCATTTCTAGAGGGAAGGAAGGGGAGAAGACAGAAATAAGGAGAAGATGAATTAGAGAGGATAAAGTTGTTGCATATGGGGTCATCCTGTGTGCAGAATGCCCACAAAAATAAACAAAAAAGTTTCTTCTTTTGTAGCCTTATTCCAGTCATGTTTACCCTGGAGATAGTTCTAGCTCTTCTTTATTTTCAACCAAGGATAATCATATGCTGCAGAATAAATAGCTATTTCTAAAAATTGCTCCCACCTACAGAAGGGAAATCTTCAAACCGAAGTCTTCCTTTACCTGTATTGCACAGCCTGCAGAGCCCGCCCAGCCAAGTGGGTATGCAGCAGGTAGCCATATACCTGTATGTCAGGAAATGGGACCCCATTCATCTGTAACAGGAATGAGGCATCTGATTTGTTAAGAGCTCTGATCTTGACCTGCCCCTTAATTTTCCTTCCTTGATATTTGACACCTTCCTCTGATAACTGACACTCCATTCATTATTATTGAACACTCCTAGTCCCAAGTCCCTTTGCCCCCAAAGCCCTGACTCCTATCCTCCCCTGCATGAATCATGTCAATTAGTGAATTTCCTGAGCTATAATCATTCTCCAAGTCTGGGACTCAGACTGCCTAAGCTTGTGGATCAGACCAGATCTGTGATGGGAAACGAGGGGAATGTTATTCCTTCTCCAGAAGGGTGTGCCTGCAAGTTTCACCTCCTCAAACTTATCCGTTTTACACAGTCCGTAGGACATGAAGGACTCAGCGCCTGGGGGTATGAAGTGGATGGGGAATGTGAAGAAGCCCAATTGGAGGACGCCCATGTCGTATTTGCGCAGCTGAGAACTGTAGTACACTCGAATACCCGAGGAGTCATACACACCTAGTACACACAGGAACAATCACAGAAAGTAGGAGAGTGGATCAGGGAAGCTGGATGGGGCTGTGACCAAAGGGGTCAGCATGAATCCCACAACACGTTCCCAATACCTAAAGGAACCAGCCAACCTTACCAGTTGCCCTTCTTTAAATCTTCAGGCACTCACCAGGAAGGTTGTGAAAATTGCTATAATGAATCTCCAGTCGGATCCACTGAGGGTCCAAGGGGGTCCCAATAGAGATACCTACGTCATCTGGAAACTGGTAACTCTGTTGGAGGGAGGGAGATTTGGCAACAAAAAGGACTGGGAACCATGTATAGGGATCCAGAGTGCCTAGCCTTGTTTTCTAGCCCTCATTCCAGATCTCCTCTGTTCCCTGGTCTTCCACCAGTCCAGTGATCCCATAGCCCAACAACATGCATTTGCTAACCATGTGTTTCTCCCATCAAAGGACTCACAGTGCCCCCAACGGCCCAGCCCACGATGACCTGCGAGCAGAGGGAAAAGGCAGGGTCGGCCCCATAGCAGTCGCTGATGCCCTTGGGGAGAACACTGGCATTGCCACAGGCATACACCAGGATGTGATGCACCATAGTCTCATTGTGGTAGATCAACTTGGGTTCAAACTGGGAAGAGGAAGGAGAGCAAGGCACAGTCAAAATCTTCTATGTAAAATCCATATTCTCCCCATTCTTTTTCCTCAAATGAAACTCTATCCATTTCCTGCTTCTCTCTCTTTCTCTTTCTCTTCCATTCCCTTTATCCATCCTTGTTCCCCAAGCTATTATTTCCCTACCCCCTCTTATTCTTCTCTCAACTCCCACCTCCTTAAGTCTCTTCTTCTCAAAGAGTAGAGCATACTAAATCTGACCAGGGGGATTCCAGGACTTCTGCCTTTCCTTAGTACCTTGACCAGATTTCTGTATCTGAGCATGTAGCTATACCTTTTGGAATTCTTTTTCTTAAAAAAAAATTAGAACACTTGAATGTGAAATTAGGGGATCATGTTTGAGTTCACTCTGGGCAGACTTAAAATACCTCCTGATAGCCTCTCCCTGCCTTTACCTATTTTGGGGCTAAGATAGCACAATTCTGGGCCAAGGGTGGGGTTCATACTTTGCTATTAACAAACACTTATTAATTAGTGACCTTCATCAGCATGTATGTTGCATTATAAGGTTTAAATAAAATAGTGCTGGGGGATATAGTTCTGGGCTCAGGAAATTTTGTCACTACCACATCTGCCAAGTGGTGCCTGGATCCCTGTTCTCCATTCTACTTCCCTATTAGTTCCCCCAGCAATTTTCCAGACACTATCCTTCAGAGTTGACCACACCCACTGCTCTGCTTGAGCACCTTTCCCTGTCTTGACAATATTCCTCTCCAGTACACTGTACCTTGTAGATATGATGCTTCTTGTTAACGATAGGGAGAGGGAGAAAGGTGCAGGCATACGTGGTGTCATCTTCTGGAATGAGGAACTGGGAAAGGGTGCACAGAAGCTCAGTGGGATGGGAACAAGGCCCCCAAAAGAAAAAGGGAAGGGTCAGGCCAAGGAAGGGGGCCTCACATTAAGGTCGGATTGGCAGTTCTCAGAGGACTGAGGGGAGTCAGAGTAGCCTATATCCAAGGAATGTGCTGAATATTGGATGCAAAAGGAGGGATCTAGACTGACGGGGAGAGGGGAAGGGAACTGGATGTGGCTGGGTGGGGTGAAGGGGGTCTTACTTCAGTGATCTCCAAGTCATGAATGATGGTGTCCTCGGGGTAATCCAGATCATCAGGGTGGACTACTTGTAGCAGAAAGATGGACTTGACAAAAGTACGTTCCCGATCCAGCTTCAGAGTGTCATCCAGGCCAAAGGCAGCCAGCACCCTCACAGTGTCACTCTGGGAATGCCATGAGCAGTGAGGCGCTGCTACCCCTGAGCAGCCCTTTGCATATTCCTGCACCCAAGAATCTACACAAGCCACTCACTCACATCTACTCAGGGGAAGGAAAAGAGATTCTGACTGAGAGTGAGAACCAGTTGGGTTCTAGTTCTACCTCTGGGGCTAACTTGCTGGTCATGTTGAGCAAGTCACATTCCCTCTCACATCCCCCCTCTGTGCCACATTTGTAAAATGAAAACTCTTAAATCTCAATACTCTAATGTTCAGTGAAATTGGGCAGAGTTCTTCCAGAAAAGAGTACTGAGGAGGGTGGGGCGGGCACTGGATCAGATGGAGGTCATCCTATGTGGGGCTTGTGGATTTCAAGAGGCAGCACAATGGTGGCAGTACCTGGGAAGGCTGAGAGGCATAGAAGTCTTGGGAACTGTGACTGGGTGTCTGATACCCACCCAGAGGGAATGACTGCTTGTGATGGAATGTTTTTCTTTCCTCCCTACTTTACCGTAATATCGAGGTCATGAGGGTCACAGGAGCGGAAGGGTCTTGAAAAGCGCATGGTGGTGTAGCCAGCATCTTCCGTCAGCCCCTGCAACTCAGCATCCTGGCTCCTGTCCTCTTCCAGGGTGTCATCGTCCACGAGGTGCTGGTCCTGGGGCCCAGTGAAGGTTAAAGAGTAAGAACCAGGAACCCCGCATGTCTTGCTTTGGAGAAGTAGGTATCCCTTTATCTCCCCCAGGATATAAAGCAGCAGAAACCAGGTGTTCTTTATTATGGAGTTTCCTCCCAGGGCAGAGCATGGCAACAAGGGGTGAATCTTGAGGAAGAGGGTTTACTTTTTCCATTTCAAATTTCACCTCCATAAATCTTAATATTCTTGCATCCCTAACCCTAGAAGGCTCATGTGTTCTCTGAATTGCGTGTGCCATTCATCCTCTCTCATGTGGCTCTGAACATATGTCAGCTTGCACTGTTAATTGACAGTGCTTTGTGCAAGTGCAGTTTGAAAGAGAAATTACGAGTCTGAGATTAGGAGATGAGTATACATCTGTAAAATGGGGATAATAATTTATCTCATAATAATGCTTTGAGGCTTAAAATGCAAAGCACTTGGAACAATGGAACAATGCATGATTAATCAAAGGTATATAACAATGTTAAGCTATTGTTACTGCTGCTGATGATGTTATTATTAGACTATTTTGTGTTGTGGTCAGCCTGATTGAGCTTAAAGAAAATTGAGGACAAATACTGTGTCTCAAACAGCTTTCAATTTTCCTCAGTGACCTTCCTTTAGTGAACAAGAAAGTGGTATAAGACTCTCTCAAACAATATGATGGTTTCATTCCCTTAGAAGCCTTGGAGTCATGCAGTCTGGAAGAGCTAGATCGCACACTCTATAGTGGACTATTTCTGAAAGGAGTCATCAGCATTCATCTGGAGTTCTGAGAGCGTGCTTAGATATTTTCAGAGAATGTGAATTTTTCCTGGATACAAAGCTATCTTCAACACAATAAAGATCTCCACCCTTGGAAGGGAGCCACCCTCAGACTTACCGAAAAATAAACATTGCCATCAGGCAGGACTCCTCCAACGACCAGATCACTTCCCACGTTGGTGTAGCGATTTTTGATACCCAAGCCCACCCAGCCAGCCGTCCGGACCTGGAGCTCGAAAGTGATTATCTCAGCCTTAAGGTCAATGTCCCAGCGCAGGAAAACGACATTGGAAGGATCTAGGAACCTGGAAAAACGCAGGCGAGATGTGAGACCTAGACGGTTGCCTAGGGAGGGTGCTATCAGGGCCAGAAACATGAAAAGCCTGAAGAAAAGGGCACAGGACATGGCTCCTGGGACCTGGAACATCTCCCCTCAGATAAACACTTGAGAGCTTTGAGTTTATATGTCCCTCTACCTGTGACAGGCACCATGCCATAGGGGAGGGACAGTCTGGGGCACGTCTGATCTGATTATCCTTTTGGTTCAGAGTGGTGCCCCTTACATAACTCTGGAGGTGAGAAGGGCAAAGAGAGGGTACAGGGCAGTTTTCTCTCACTCTGGAGCAAAGTCCTGATAAGAAATTCTTAGGAGTGAATCGTTCAGACTTTCCACCCTATCTCTTGCCAGTGCTCTCCCAACGGGGACCCTGCGTAATCAAGGAAGTTTAGTTTATCCTTGTCTCCCTCTCTCTCTCTCTCTCTCTCTCTCTCCCCACCTCTCGCTCCCTCTCTTCCTTCCTATCTCCCTCTTTCCCTCTCTCCCTCCCTCTCTCACTCTCCCCTCTCCCCTCTGCCCTGTCTTACTTCCTCCCAGTCTCTACCCATCTTATATTCTTGGATGTCCTTCTGCCTCTGGCATCTGTTCCCACCCCAGTGTTTATGGGCATTTTCCATTTTGTCTATATACAGAACTGAGGTATTAGCAAGGGAGTGAGACTGCATATAAGCCTAGACTTTCAACTTCCCAGTACAGCACAGAAAAGAGGGAAGTTATTGGCAGGGGCTTTGGAAGACTGTGATTTCCAGCTCCTGGAGGAGTCTTTGTTACTAATCCCTCAAAGGACACTTAGAAGTGAAAGAACCATAATCAGCTTTCCAGATGGTTGAGTCTGGGTCAGAATTTCTACACATTCCTGCGGAGGAGCAAGCAGGGGAGGAGTTGAGGGAAAAAGAGGAAAAAGATGAGAAGAAAACGTGAACTTGCCTTTGGGATGTGAAAGGAGGGACCCCAAGAAACTTAGAATAAACTTAGTTCACATTTTGCCTCAATATAGCCATTTTTGCTTAGACTGGCATGCTTTGAGTCCAGCACAGGTTAAACATAGATAAGTTTCCAATAGATAGGTTTTAGGAAGTGTTCAGACATTTTACCACAGGCTAAGCTGGCAGCCTACCTCACCCCTTTGGAAAATCTCCATCAGTTGCAAGACAAGAAAAACCCAACCTTTCAATTCATGGTTTGCATAATAATCTCTAAGAAACTTTCTGTTTCCTTGTGGAAGGTGAAAGGTCAAAGATCACCCCTTAGCTGGACGAAACCATAGACATGATAATAAGACCAACTTTTTGCTAAGCAGCTTGTGAATTAGAAACATCTGACAGGTCTCTTACAGGAAAAACCCCTCCCCTTGTCTCTTCCTATCTAGCTCACCACCATGCCAGCAATCATGTGACTAACCCATCCATCTGCCTGCTGTCCGTCACCTGATGTCAGTACCTACAATTACCGCCCCCCTTGTGATGACATGAAGCAGACCACCACCCAATCACCTTAATGACCTTCCCCTATCAAAGGGAAGGATTAAAAGGACTCAACCACAAACAACCAGCAGCCATTGACTTGCTAAGCTATGGTGTGACCATGTGCTCTTTGAGCTATGATCAGGCCATGTTTCTTGGCTTTGGCCCCCTCCCCTAAATTGGGGGGATGAATCTCCTTTCTCTCTCTCTCTCTCTCTCTCTCTCTCTCATATTTACTTTCTAAATAAACTATATTTTCTAATCTAACTTCTGTGCAATTATTTGCATCTTTCATGTGGCACCAGATTGCACACCAGAGACCCACAGCCCCAGAGAACCTGACCTGATGTTCTAGAAGCCTCGCTGGGAGTGTGACTTAATATTTTTGGTGGCTCCAGCAAGATATAACACTTTTGGAGGTTCCACTATGATCTAACAGGATACTTTATACTTTGCTCCTTCTCTCATGAGCTGCCTTTCAGAAGAATCACAGTTTAGTGATTCTACTGCAGACTTAGTTCGACTTCCCCACTTAAAGCACGATGGTGTCATGCAAACAATAAAAGCATGGATGGAATATAAGAATAGTAGAATACCAGAGTAGAAAGGAACTTTAGATCCACTTAATTTTCCAAAATTCCAATCCACTTAATTTTCAGATAAAGAAATGGAAGCACCAAGGGGTAACAAGAATGGTGCTTGATCTTGCATCAAGCTCGATCCTACAGAGCTAACACAGGAATACAGGGCTTTTTCCCCAAGCAGGCACTTTCCATTATTTCCTTAGGTCACAGGCATCCACAGGTACCAGACTCCTGCCTTGCATGCCCACCACGGCTTGTTCTGGTAGAGGGAGCTGATGTCATTCATTGACTGCTTCTTAGAAAAGGGACCAAAGTCTGACTAACTCTGGAGGAATTTAATCCCAGTGACTGACACAGCTGACTGGGTGCCTGAAATCTGACCTCCAGTTGCCCGTTCTCCATTCGACAAACGAGAGGACATGGGCCTCGAGGGCCTTCTTCACAGGCTGGACCACACACCTCCACAGAGGAATTCAGTTCAGGCTGGGGCAGACAGATGTTGGAGTGATCTGCTTACATCTTTATTTGGCATGTTCATAGTCTCTAACTTACTGAGCTCATCAAAGCTGGTGAGGACCCAGTTAAGGTTGTTTGCTGCTTCTGTGAGTACTTGAGTAGTAAGGAGGGGGCCTTTGGGGAGAAAACAAATTCCCCAAGGGGGCAGCCACAATCCCCAACTCTGGACTTGGCAGAGAAGATAGGGAACTAGGCAGCCATCTGGAAGCAAGACACTTACGCTGGTACAGGACTGGAGCCTAGCCAAGACAAGAGAAGCAGGCAGGGCCTGGAGACGCATTGACCTTGAGGAACAGGAATGCCAGGAGTGTGGAGACAGTCTGATCCCAATCTCACTTGAGGATTAAGGCTGAGGGAGGGGGCAGTAGGAAGATAGGACAACCAGTCCTGTAAACCGAGATAGACCCAGGATCCCTTATCCTGCAACCTGTCCTGCTGGCCAAAGCACTGTCCTTGGAGAAGAACCAGGGTCCCCTTGAGAGAGCTAGGAGTGGTGTCTGCACACTCAGGGGGCCTCTACTTCTGGGCCCTCATCTGGCTTTCACCCCACGTTGCCAGGTAATTGCTACACACTTATTGGGGCCTCTCCAGGGAAGTGAGTCTGGGATTTGGCCCTGCTTCCCTTCTACATGTATCGCGTGTCTGTGATACGGAGGACACCACACTTAGGATATTGACTTCAGCACAGTGAAGTCAGAGACAAAGGAAGAACTCCAATTTGTCAAAGTAAATGCTATAAGAAAATGAAGAGGAAGGAGAGGAGACCTTTCCCGTATTTTCAACAGTCAGATTTAAACCTCTCTTTTTAAAATTTTTACTTGCTTTCATAGAGTCAAACACAGATAACTGAAGATGAGCATCCATTGTCCTACTGTCCTATGTTGTCCTGTGGCAGCTTCTACACATATATGAAGTTTGTGGTGAGAGAGGTCTTTGTTCACTTCTATAAATATCGCTTGGTTGTACTGAGTTATTTTAATCTCTCGCAAAGATTTGAGGCATAGATTCAGACCACTGTTCTAGGGGTGAGATTGAGAGGATGTAAGGCCCAGTACCTTCACTAAGGTACTCAGAGACATGAGGATCACATGTGACCACATGTTGGAGCCAGGAAGCAGGAAAGTGCTCAAAGCTCCAGGTTAAGGTTTGAACTTCAGGGAGAAAATGAGACTAGATATTCAGTTTCCTGATAAAGCCATACCCTTTGGAGCTTCAGGCCCAGAAACTGTGTCAGTCCTGACTGCCGTCTTACAAACTGAGATCTTACCCTCCAGCCTGGCTGGCCTTGTTTCGTGGCCCTGTTGGAGAAAGCCTGCAGGGCCAGGAATGATGACATTTCCCATTGTCTGCAGTTGACTGATTTTGACTGCTGTGAGTACAGGTCAGGATGGCAAACAGAGGAAGCCACTCAGTGTGGTTGACAGACAGAACCCCTATGGGGTGGAACCTGATCATTAGAGAATCATAGACATAGAAATTACTCCCTAGCCCTAGTCTTCCCAGGCATATCCGTTCATACTGAGGAGGGATCCTTTCTGTTCCCAACAACCTCCTATTGGTTTTAATCATGGATCGCCCCTGTCCAGGATTTAGTGCAGTTAGTTTCCCCTTGAGGTAACCACTCTGCAGCCTTCAACCTGGCCTGTTGTGTATTTCAGACACCACTACCAGCCTGGTGGAGCAAGGGCTCATGTGGGTCCTGGAACCATGTGGACAGGCTGAGAACCTGTGCTGCATCCTGAGGAATTCCCAGCAAACCCTGAGTGAGTGGGTACCAGTAAGATCTCCAGGAGCAACTACAGGTGCTGGTTACTCTGTGGAGTCCTGGGGATAAGGAGGTTATATCCTTTCCTGGAGTGGATCACTAGGCCATGCAAGTCAGTGACACCCAGCTGAGGCTGCACATGGCCCATGTGACTTAGGGCAGAACCCCATACTTCGCCTGCAGCTATGACACAGGGAAAAACCTTCCCTGGACTTGTGAATAAAAATTAAATACACAGACTCCTTGACTCCCAACCATAGACCCTGGCCTGTGTCCTCTTCCCTGACAGCCTTTCCATATCATTTTCCTTCCCACCCAGATCCTCTTTCCTTGTCTTGTAACTACAAGTAGACCTTCTCTGCTGATTTCCCATGTGCCTTTCAGTGAACACTTAACCTGAATAGTATGGTGATTTAACCAAAGGCTTTGGGGGGCTTAGATGCAGACCTTGGCTCTGCCACTTGTGGGCTCTGGGGAAGTCTCTTAATCTCCCTGAAGCTCAGTGTCTGTGCCTATGAAATGCACATAGTAGCTTTATTAATCTCAGAGGACTGCTGTGAGGATAGAACAATACTATTCAGGTGAAACCTTTAGTATAATGCAAAGAGAAACCAAAATCAATCAGGGGGGCTTTGCTATTATCCTCATAGTATGTATATATAAAAGCGTGTTGCATTTTAATGTCAGAATCAACTCTCAGAGAGATGCTGGGGGGAAGCCTGAAGAAATACTGGGAGATCA